GGGGGGCTCCCCTTTTCTTAATAGATATTTACCTTAATATTTATTGAATCATTAATATCTTTCAGATTTTACAATTTATATTGCAAATAAAACAAAGAGAAGTAAAATTTGGCATGGGATTTTTTCACTTAGGGTATAATATGGTCCGTGAGGTATGTTTTACACTAGATAGAAGTATGATATGAATATAAGCATGTATAATAGGGCAAACTCATATTTAATTTCTAGCAATTTACATACAAAGATGTCAAATTATACTATAATTTTTAATTCATTTTTCACTTAACAGTTTACACATATTTAATTGTGATTTCTCATATTAATGTTTACCCAGATAGTACACCATATTTATAAAATATTTATAATGTAGTTGTAAAATTTGTTTTTAATATTTTGTAGTCTCATATTACGTTGATCATAGACATTTATTCTAAAAATTACGAAATATTCATCCTATTTATTATTAAAGTAAATCTATGAAAGTACTTAGAAAAGCACTATAATCTAAGTTTATTTATAAAATATTTATTAAGAATATTTACCTATTTTATCATAAATATTACATAATTCATATAAATTACATTTTAATAACGTTTTAGATAAATATTGGGAAGAATATCACTACGTCGACTTGCCATCAGAGGTCTATCAATATTCGCAAATTCTCGTAAGTGCTGAGACACGCGTATATCTCTTTTATATAGAATCTCGATTTAATAACTTACCAAGGCGTATAAGGTAGGCTTTCACTACAATGCCTTACTGATGAGTCCAGTAGTGGAAGTCGGGACGAAACGCCAAAAATTACGTGATATTCTTCGCAATATATTATATTAGAATAAATTATCAGAGTTATTTAGATTTTTAATAGTAATTTGACTCTTACTTAGCCCTTGTCTAACTTATTGATTATTATTATATAAAAGAGTCCTTTAAATTTTCAATATATTTTTTATATTTTTTATGTTTTTGTAAATATATAATTTTATAATCTCGAACAGTTGTTCATAACTTGCAATCTTAGTAATATTGATAATGATCTAATAGAGGTCGAAACGTTTGTTATTCTATTTTAATTAATCTACGTAATTTTAACCAAACGATAATTTTTATTTACAAACAATTATATATTTTAACGAACTTTTGGCCCTTTTCTTTTTCATTATTTTTAAATTTATTGAGCCATATCAAAAACATATTTTTATATAAAGTATTAATAAATTATTTGTATACAATACGCAAAAAATTAGGAGAACATTTTAAAACCTGCAATTTTGTTGATTTTGAAAAATCGACAAAACCTATCTTTGCTTCCAGGAATTGCAGAACATTGTTCCTTAGCGCGTTTCGAAGAGTAAGACGAGAAACACACACTTTTGCATAACGCATAAAGCATGTGCATAAGGAATTTCATTGGCCCATTTTCTTAAGCATGAGTCAATGGACCAATCAAATTCTTTATGTATATGGTTTATGCGTTATGCAAAAGTCTGTGCTCCCCGCTTAAAGTTTTTAAAATGGCTTAAGTGCAGAGTTGCGCTTAGATAATTAAAAATTATCTAGATAATAAGATAAATCACACAAAAATGTATCGTGGAATAAAGATAATTAAGGTAAATGTTCACTTTAGGAGACCCCCCCCAATGACCTTGACCATGACATATATATATGTATATTTTTTAACGTGAGGAAATGTGTTACGCATATCCCACTCCCCCGGGAAGGGGAGAGGGGTTATATGGGACTCTCTCCGACCTAACTGGTCGGGGCCTACCCACTAAAACCTCACGAGTGTCCTACCTGGGGCGCAAAGGAGGGGCCGGAAGGGCTCTTGAATGCAGTACTCTCCTCTCGACCCCAGCTCAGAAGCGCTGAGCGCTACCTACCTAACTTTGTGACGGAGGAGGACACCAGGTTCCTCCGTCACCCGCCCTTTATCCTGTGCCAGGGACGGGGAGTCTCCCGCTCCCCGCCCCGCAGGATTTCGGGCAGAGGGGCGTGGGATCGTTAGGGGGATCGGAGAACTGGACACCCATGCCGATCATCGGCAGGGGGACCGGACATCCATGCCAACCCCACGCTACTTTCTAGAGTGCTCTTACGAGTACATGTCCGTGATTAGTCACTGTCGATTAGTCATCGTCGTCCTCGGTACTCATTCCTGAAGGGACTTGATACCACTCGGAGTCAGAGCTGTCATTGTTATCTCCGTTTTCTACCCACCAAGCCTCTGTCTCCTCCTCTGTTTCGTCCAGAATCGTGTCCTGTCTGTCATCGTCCTGACTAGGGGCAGGGACTCCCTGCCTGGCTCTCCCCGCCTCCTCCTTCACCTTCATGATCTTTTCAGCGAATGCAAAGATCGCGTCTTTCCTCTTCTTACTTAGAAGGGCCCGGATTATGCTAGGATAGGACAAATCATTCCCGATTGTTCTACGTAGCTCCTTTCTTTCCGTATCCCAGGCTGGGCATTCTTCGATGGTGTACATTGCCGTATCCAAGTTGGACGGACAATGCCAGCATTTACTCGTGCTCTCCTTTTTTATCCGACGTAAAAATTGCCCAAAGCATCCATGCCCTGATAGTAGTTGGGTGAGATGATACGACAATCCCATCTTCCGGACTGTCCACTCTCTAAGATAGGGGGCTAATCACCAGCCCCACTTCGCCACCCATCCGTAGTTTCGCGTCCATTCCTCCCATTTGAGGAACATCCTGTTCCTTGCGTTATTTCGAATCAAGGTTATTGCCTGCGGAGGTAGATCTCTCACTCCACCAGCTCTAGCGTCCTTCAGCTCTTCGTATACTTCCGTATACATATCCCCTTTGAGGTGGAGGGGGGTCATTCCCGCGAGCATCGATGCCGTGGAGTGACCAATTGTGCGATATCCTCGGATGGTCCTGCATGCGATTTTCCTTTGAACTTGGTTAAGGCTACCTTGAATCTTCCTACTTCGCATAACCTTGTCCGTCCAGATCGGAGCTGCGTATAAAGCGATGGAGTCCACAACCGATGCGTGCAGACGTCGAACCATATTATTCGGTCTCCCGATATTTGGGAGAATTCTTGAAAGCTTGGCAGCTGTATTTCTAAGTTTGTCGCCTGTCACTTCAAAATGACGTTTAAACGTCCAGCGACTATCCGTCATAACGCCTAGATACTTTAGGCTTTCCTAATCCGGAATCTCTGCGTCTTCTACTCTCACAACGGTATTTGCGGAAGGTCTACGGGCTCTATCTCCTCTGAAACAGATTGCCTCCGATTTAGAGGCAGAAATCGTAAGGCCCATATCCTTAATTCTTTGTGACACCTCTGCCACCGCCTCGTTGGCGTTTAGTAGTGCGTCTTTCCAGGAGTCTCCACCAGCTAAGACAAAGGTATCGTCCGCATACGACACTATCTTACAATCCTGCGGCAGGTCTGCTAGTCTGAGGACCTCATTGTATCCCATTATCCATAGAAACGGGCCTAAAACTGAGCCCTGAGGGACGCCTCTCTCCACTTGTCTCGTTTCAACACCATCTCCGTCCACATACATTAGAAATCGGTTAGACCGATAGGATCTTAGCACCCGTCTTAAGTATGAGCGAGACCTTGATATGTCTGAGTGCCCTTCCTATTCCTTCCCACGGAAGGGAGTTAAAGGCGTTCGATATATCTATCGAAACGCCAATAACCACCCCTCCCGTGGTGTAGATGTAGTCTTCGACAAACCGACGTACGTCAAGAATCGCATCTGTGGTGCCTCTGCACCTGCGAAATCCATACTGATGCCCAGTGTGTATGCGGGAGCCGCCGAAAGGGATCTCGATGTAGTCATTCAGTCGAGCGACGTTGATCCTCTCGAATATTTTTGCCTCCTTGTCGAGGAGGCAAATCGGCCTGTAGTCTGACGGGTGATCAGCAGGCTTACTATCCTTTCGCAGAAGCACCAACTTAGATTTCTTCCACACATCCGGGAAGATGCCGGTCTTGAGGCACATCATGAATAATTCATGAAGATACGCATGTAATGGGTACATCGCCCAGTTCCAGGCCTGACTAGGGACTCCTGATGGTCCCGGAGCAGCACCTTCTCTCTCATTCTTTTAACGGCCACCTTTATTTCCTCCAAAGAGACCTCCAGATTTGGCGTCCACGATCCAATGCCTATTCCGGGAAGCTCCTCCAGTTCGACCCATGCCGTTGCTTCCTCTGTGGGTGGTGGGAAGAGGACAAGCAGAATTTCTTCCAGGAATTGTGGCTCCAAGGACATTGTGTAGAGGACTGTCCAGTACCTGAGTCTGTTTAACACTATGCTGTAGGCAGTCCCCCACGGGTGAGGAGAGAAGCTTCTTCCAGGAACTTTCCTTAGCCTTCTGGATAGCGGTCCTAAGTTCTTTTCTAGCCGCTCTATAGCTTGCTATTTTCAGCTCTATCTCCTCCTGGTTTGCGCTATCCCTACGCCTGGCCTTTTTAACTTGCCTACGAGCTTTCATTGCATTTTTCCTTAGGGTCGCGATGTCATCGCTCCACCAGTGGGTGGCCTTCCTCGGACGGAACCTAACTCTAGGCATCGCGTTGTCACATGCCTTGACGACTCTTCTTTGTAATTCTATGGCCTCTCTGTGTAGATCCACAGGGATCTCCCTCTCGAGAAGTTTCCCTTGTTCTTCAGGTCAGTAGGTGACCAATAGAGACGCTTCCAGCAGGTCTTCGTCTAGTTTTTTGGCGTCACTCCTCGTATCTCCAAACCAGTATGGGTGATCCGGAACGTTATTTGGTTCCGAGACGAGTGCTATCCCTATGTCGTGCTCTATTATTGCCTGAGCTAAAAGGTCCTGGGCGTTCCTTGCGCGATTAAAGTTACTCTGTATTAGATAATTTGCCATTTCCGGGAGTTACTTGTCCTTCTGTTCAGTGAAACTCTGCGGTTCCTGCCATGAAGTAGTTATATTCTCTCCATCTTCTTTAGGCCAATCCATAGAGATTGCCATCTCTGCTATGTTCTGCGAGATTGTATTATTCTGCGGAAGGGATGTTACTTCCATTTCCATTGCGTTGTCCAAGAGGGCAAACTTATTGCTCGTTGAAATGCCCAGAATCGGGCTAGCTCCGTTCGCTTCATCTGCTTGTTGCACATTCTTGTCATCCAGGATCGTCGTCCTTTGGCTGCAGGTACTTTTACGTGTGTCCGTGTTCTTGCCTGCGGCAAGTTCCATATTGTTATTCGAGGCCATCACTATGGTGTTATTCTGATCGGAGTCTTTTTTGCGCATATCTTTTTGTTGCGCGTTCCTTGTGCATTTCCTAGGATCGCAGGCATTCCCACCAATCCTATGGTTGGAGGGTAGGCCAGCCGCTTCGCAAATTGTGCATTTCACTGAGTTTTCACACACTCTGGCAATGTGATCTTTACCACCACATCTGTAGCATTCATTGCTCCGATCAATAGCACTTTTGCATTCACTTCTGACGTGCCCAAAATCCAAACACCGGAAACACTGGAGTCTCCTTTCCGGTAACAGGGAGATCCGGGCACTTGTCCAGCCCATTTGTATTCTTTTCTTATCCGCCAGGGCATTTGCAATCCTGACTGGGCATTTGACGATCAAAGACCCCATACCATTTCGACCTTTGGTAATTGTTCCCAGTTTGATGTCGGCATGATTGCATTCTAGCGTACCGCAGATAACCTAGAGTATGTCTCCAGTTGTCAATGATTCATCCAAGTTGGTGATTCTTAAGTCTGTCGTCTTGATTGGTCTAGATATTTTGACCTCTTGACTATCGCTGAACATCTTGTAATTTGAGGCTAACTCGTCTGCCTTGAGTTCATTGTCAGGGCCAAGTATTTCAATCAGGAATGCACCTGTCCTGGCCTTCCGAGAACGGAGCTCTGTAATTCCTAGGGCATTAACATTGATAACTCTTGCCCGTTTCAATGTTTCAGCATAATTATCCTTATCGTCAGTAAGAATCTGTACGACAGACGTCCGTGGAGGTTTCTTTTTCTTCACCTCCTTCTGCTTGGGGTTATATCCAGATATGTTACCTGTTCGTCGATCCGTGAATTTGTTTCTCGCCTCCTTCTTTTCTCTCCGGCCTAAGACCTTAAGACCAGGGTTCTTCCTGCTTCTGAAAAGCATTTTGTGAAGGCCTCTGTCTCGATTTAAACCTATCTCTCACTTTATTTCCTTTCTCAGGTAGTATTACCTTCTTCTTCTGAGATCTAGATAAGTCTTGGCTATCCTGTTTTCTATCTGATGCTGACGTAATATCCATTTCCTCTCTAATGATGTTTCTTATAATTTTTTTAAGACTTGTCCTTTCCTCAGGGTCTATCCTATTCTGTGGCTTTTTCAATTGTTTCTTTTTAGTCACTGATCCTTTTGTTTCCTTCTGTCCTTTGTCCTTCAGTACTATCTTACCATCGACGACTATTGTCTCGAATTTCTGACTACTGGACAGAATGACGTCCTCCTTAATGTAAGCTTTACGGAGCCTCTCAGACGCCTTGTTGTTCTTTGGCCAGTTGGGCTCAGACCATTCCTCTCTGAGAGCAAGTTCTATCTTTTGCACCTCTTCAGTATCTGCAGAGGCGTTACCCTCTTCGTGTGCTCTCAGTTCCACGGTATTCTCATCGCTCACCTCAATATCCGAGGCCGAGTCGATGATTCTTCTCCGAGATCTTGCGTTGTCTATGGGTGCTTTCCAGCTACGACACAAGTAGACACTGTGTAACACAGTGTACGACACGGTGCTTTCCAACTATGACACAAGTCGACACAATCGTACACAGCTAAAATGCTGAGTTCAACTGTGTCGTCTCTTCATAGCTACCAACATAACCAAGATTTTTACATTTTGTACTATTTATTTATCTAGGAATGATATTCCGACATTGCATGAGTGTATACGAAACAAATAAGGTGACAAAATATTCTTTTGAATTAGTAAATATACCAGAATACTTTTCCTATTAAAAACACTAGTGTAAAGTAACTAAATAGCGTTTCAGCTACAAGTCGACACTGTGTAACACTGTGTCACATAGTGTTACACTGTGTTTCGTAGCTGGAAAGCACGCTATGGCTGTTTTCCAGCTAGGACACAGAAACGTTACACTGTGCTCCACTGTGTAAAGACTTGTTGGAACGATAGAGCTCTAATTGGTAACACTGGCATACTCTACACGTTCGTACTTAGCTTTTTACAGTGTCGAGCAGTGTAACACTGTGTCACAGTTGGAACACTTTGTGTAAGACACAGTGTTACACTGTGTCATCTGTGTACGTTGTTGGAAAACACCCTATGTTAGCGGATCTCAGAGACTTCTTCCTCGAGATGGCCATCTTAGTATCCTCTTCTTTGGTCGTACTGGCTTTCGATTGAGACTTTGCACCCGGCTTGTTGGCACTCTCCACTTTCCATCCTTTTCCCTCCAACAGTCTCTTGAGATCATAGATTTCCGTCTCCAGTCTCTCGATTCTGTCTTCCGCCGTCTTATATTTGATCTTTTCTATCTCTAACTTTTCGCAGAGTTTCCTTTTCATTTCCTCGTTTTCTTTTTTGAGCATCTTAATTTCCGCAGATGCCTCTTCATTCCTGGATTTTGTAGCTCTCATTATTATAACCCAACGTTTCTGCAGCCATGGCTTTGAGAGTGCTTACGTATGTTTCCTTAAGATTGCCAGATGTCCTCGAGATGCGAATCACCTCTTCCATGTCCTCTTTGGCAATCTTGACGAGTTCCTCTATGGTCATACTAACCGCCCTTTCTTTTAACTTGGTCATGTCTACGCTGACCTCGTTCAATAGTCCTTGGCCTTCTAGCCTTCTTATTTTGTCTTCTCGCTTTAACTGTAGACGTAAATCCTCCGCTTTGTTAAGTCTCTCAAGCTCTTCTCTTTTGGAGACATATCTGTCTTTCTCCTTCAGCGAGGCTTTGAGTCTTTTTACAGGCCTGCCCCTCTTTCTTTTGCCACTTGTTAGTGCCATTTTATCCGGTGGTTCTTCCGAGTATGAGTCATCTTCTGACAGTACTATCGGCTGGCTGGGCCTGTCTTCCGTGTCCTTGTTGGATGTCGAGGCACGCGTCCGTTGGGTCTTGGACTTAGGCACCGGCTTCTTGAAGAAGCTATTACTGCATCCTGCTTCTTTCGTGTA